CATATACCCCGAAAAATCCAGGAGCACCACGAAACTCTATTTCCACCGCCACAACCTTCTGTACCCATGAGATCCCATCTTGGGGCCTTTTCCAGCGCTCCGCCGGAGGGGGAATCGATCACGGAGGGCTTATACATCAACACCATAGCCTCTCCTATGATGTGTGAGTAGTTTACCACGGACCTTCTGGTCCATAGTTATTAGCTAGATGGCTTCTTCTCTCTCTTTGATTCTCAATACAAAGTTCTCCTCAATCTTCTTCGAGATCTATCCGATGTAATACTTTTTGCGGTGTGTTTGTCAAGATCCAATGAATTGTGGGTTTATGATCAAGATTATCTATGAATAATATTTGATTCTTCTCTGAATTCTTATATGTATGATTTGATATCTTTGCAAGTCTCCTCGAATTATCAGTTTGGTTTGGCCTACTAGATTGATCTTTCTTGCAATAGGAGAAGTGCTTAGCTTTGGGTTCAATCTTGCGGTGTCCTTTCCCAGTGACAGCAGGGGCAGCAAGGCACGTATTGTATTGTTGCCATCGAGGATAAAATGATGGGGTTTATATCATATTGCTTGAGTTTATCCCTCTACATCATGTCATCTTGCTTAATGCGTTACTCTGTTCTTATGAACTTAATACTCTAGATGCATGCTAGATAGCGCTCGATGTGTGGAGTAATAGTAGTAGATGTAGAATCATTTCGATCTACTTGTCATGGACGTGATTCCTATATACATGATCATGCCTAGATATTCTCATAACTATGCGCTTTTCTATCAATTGCTCGACAGTAATTTGTTCACCCACCGTATGATATGCTATCTTGAGAGAAGCCACTAGTGAAACCTATGGGCCCCGGGTCTCTTTTCCATCGTATTATATCTCTTTTATTTACATTGCATCTCGTTTACTATTTTGCAATCTTTACTTTTCAATCTATACACCAAAAATACCAAAAATATTTATCTTATTATCTCTATCAGATCTCACTTTTGCAAGTGGTCGTGAAGGGATTGACAACCCCTTTATCGCGTTGGTTGCAAGGTTCTTATTTGTTTGTGCAGCTACAAGGCGACTTGCGTGTAACCTCCTACTGGATTGATACCTTGGTTCTCAAAAACTGAGGGAAATACTTATGCTACTTTGCTGCATCACCCTTTCCTCTTCAAGAGAAAACCAACGCATGCTCAAGAGGTAGCATTATATGATCTAGTTATGTTATCATTGTTGAGAGAACTTGCACTAGTGAAAGTATGAACCCTGGGCCTTGTTTCCAAGCATTGCAATACCGTATTTGCTCACTTCTGTTACTAGTTACCTTGCTGTTTTTATATTTTTTACATTTCAAAAACCCATATCTACTATCCATATTACGCCTGTATTACCATCTCTTCGCCGAACTAGTGCACCTATACAATTTACAATTGTATTAGGTGTGTTGGGGACACAAAAGAATCTTTGTTATTTGGTTGCAGGATTGTTTGAGGGAGACCATCTTCATCCTACGCCTCCCACGGATTGATAAACCTTAGGTCATCCAATTGAGGGAAATTTGCTACTGTCCTACAGAACTCTGCGCTTGGAGGCCCAACACGAGTCTAGAAGAAGAAGGTTGCGTAGTAGACATCAGCATACTATATCATTGTTTAAATCCCCTGCGAATGCTAAATGATAGTTCAACAAGAGTTGTCTTGCATCAAAAAACTAGCAGAGGAGCAACTACATATAGAAGAACCGAGTAACAAACGAGTGTTTAGCCATCATCAGTGCACAACACCGCCTATGTGTCTTATCAGATTTTCGTGCTAACTAGAATATTTCATCAACAAATTTATGAAATGGATAGGCGCATGAATTTTAAATAGACTGGCTCGATGGCCAGCACCACAATCAACCACGGGTCATTAGCTAGATCATCTCAAGGCATAGGGAGAGGGAGGAGACCATGGACTCACCAGATCATTTTGACCCAAGAACAAATTGATTATGTGATCAACAGCTCCTTAAGATGGTGAACTAGAAACACTTTGATTGCATAGCTACTGCTCTCTTCTCCTACCATGTTGGGTTGGGTTTCCCTTATCAAACCCAAGCAAGAGGAATCATCCATCCATCGCCCCACTAAAACAAGAACTAATAGCAAGATCCAAGGGGTCAACCAAGAAATAAACTCCGGAGATCTACTTCTCTACTACCACCACCATTACTGTGGCCTGATGTACTACTACTGCTGCCCCACTTGATTCACACAAGGCCACCTGTCACAACAGCCACGCTGTTGCCGGTGCCAACTCATGACCGATGCATGATCATCACGCCCGCCCATTGAAAACAACTAATGTGCGAGTTGAAAAACTCAAGATGTGATTTGCACGGAAAAACACATGTTGTCAACGGATTCCAAGTTTCCAACTAAACATAAAGTAAGTTAGCATTTCAATCCATATGAATGACTTGGATTAGTTCTTTAATAACAGAGCATGTACTGTTGAATGTGAGGGAAAAAAAGCTCGGGCAAGAGGGCATAACACTCGGGCCCAACTAGTAGTCTCAGGATATCAATTATCCACTCTAATAGAACATCATAAAATTCATATAAGCTAAAAGCTCTGGATCATTGAAGGTATCCATCTCAGTTTCTCATAGTGAAATAAAATAGACCAGGGGTGCATTCCCTTGTCCATGCCATTTTACCAGATAATATAACAACTTATGAACTTATACTGTCAACTAACATGAATGGTTCACCGCTTAATCATAAAAATCATTAAATAGAAACATAAACACGCAATTCCAGTTTCCAAAGAGTCTTGCTCATAAACATGGCATCTTGCAATAAGAAAAAAGACGCTTCCACTATTTCCAGGGGAACAAGGCTCCCTAAGTGCATCACTTCTACAAATGGAAATTATATAATCTGTTGTCTAATAGAACATCATAGAAGTCAGAAAAAACCAGTAGTTGTTGTTTGAAGACATGGAAGCTAGGTGGAAACTTGTAGAAAAAAATGTTGAAGCAACAGATTTGTATGGATTGCTTACCACAACGAACACCACAAACTAATTAACCATGACATTTTGTTGATTTCCTGTTATTCCATTTCACCATAAACCATGTGATTTTCTATTTCAAAATTATTGATGGATATAAAAATCTCCCCGTATTTTAAAATTTTGTCAAATGCAAAATATATAAAATGTTCACAACCATTTAAATATTTCATAAAATTTAAAAACAATTCATGATTTAAAAAAATCATGATTAAAAAAAGTAAAGAACAAAATAAATAAAAACGAAATTCATCGCCAGTTGTAGTCGGGTTGGGGGCCACCACAGTTGCAGTGATGGTTGCAACACTTGCAATCGCCTTGGTGGCCCGTGCCCTTGCAATTGGTTGCAACACTTGTAGCTGCCACTCTAGTGGTGGTCCTATAACTAGCCTGGCAACCCTCCTTCTAACACCAGTTGGAGTCGCTTTGTGCCAGGTGCAGTTGTAGTCAAGTTACAAAGCTTGCAGTTGCGTGTCTAGTGGTGGACATGCAATTAGCCAGACGACCGCCTTCCACCCGGCTACAGTCACATTGTGGACGGATCGCTCATAGTTGCGATTGGTCCCCTTGAAAATGTGCAGTTTTGATTCCAGCCTTGGGAACATTGCAGTTGCGACAAAACCTAGAAAACTTGCAGTTGTGACCTGCCTTGGAAAACTTGTAGTTGCGATTCCACCTTAGGGACATGTAGTTGCAACAAACCAAAGAAAACTTGCTGCTGCGACATGCGTTGAAAACGTGACATTCCGGTTCCTACACTTGGGTACTTGCAGTAGCGACAAACCTACAAAACATGAAGTTGCGTCCTGCCTTGGGAAAACACGCAGTTGCGATTCCCCCTTTGGGACATGAAATTCCAAGAAAACCTAGAAAACATGCAGTTCTGGTTCCCACTTGGGGACATGCAATTGCGACAAACCCCTGGAAAACTTGCAGTTACGACATGCCTTGGAATCCATACATTTTCGATTCCCATCCTTGGGGCTTGCAGTTGCGACAAACCTAGAAAACATGTAGTTGTGATGCTATTTAAAAACTTGCAGTTGCCCCCCTAGAAAAATATGCAGTTGCGACATCTTGAATAAACATGCAGCTGTGACCCCCTTGAAAACACATGCAGTTGCGACACCTTAAAAACATGCAATTGTGACCCCATTTTAAAACTTACAGCTGTGACCCCTCTTGAAAAACATGTAGTTGCGACCCCTCTTGAAATACATGTGGTTGCAACCTCCGCTTGAAAACATGTAGTTGCGACCCATCTTGAAAGACATATAGTTGCGACCTCCCCTTAAAAACACGCAGTTGCGATCCATCTTGAAAACTTACAGTTGTGACCCATCATGAAAACATACAGTTAATTGTGACCCTCTTGAAAACATGCTGTTGCGACCCCTCTTAAAAATATGTAGTTGTGATCCACCTTAAAAACATAAAATTATCGCACCTCCACCTTTATAGGATCACAACGCAATTTAATCTACGAGTAATGGCGTGAACGAAGCATAGTTGAAACCCACCTTGTCCGATGGAAATAAAAATATAGCAAAAAAATGAAGAAGAACAAAAAAAAGCAAAATTCAAGAATGAAGAACAAAAAATAAAATAAAATAATAATACCGATTGTATGTGGACTTTTAAAGCGTGAAGCTCTCCGTAAGAAAGAGTGTACAAATGTCCAAATTAAACAATCACAAGGTGAAGTAGCATCCTGAAGAAAAAAAATAAAAAGAGTAGCTAGTTTTTTTTGGCAAACTTCGAAGGTTTTTATTGAGGCGTCAGTGAGAAAGATAAAGCTCAGCCTAATAATAGAAAAAGTAAAAGGCCATTAACAAGAGGGCTGCACGGTCAACAATGGGACAAACAAGCGACTGGACAACGACACAACAACACGAATCTCAGCAATGATTTTGATCCAACGGCTGTCCAGGTGAATGAGACCAGAACTAATCAGCCCGTTGAATCTCTTGGATGATGATCTCGAGCGCTCGATCATCCACCAGAAGGGCATTATGGGACATGTTGGACACCTTGACCATCCTAAAATCCCCACCACGGTGGCTCCACGACGTCTCCACCGCCACGGCGCTCACCAGGTTCACCACCCCGTCGCCGTCCCCGGCGACCACGGACGGCGTCGCGTCGAAATCATCCCCGGGGAACACTATCCTTTCCAGCGTCCCCACCCCGACCCCGACGACGGTGGTCACCGGCACCCCGGGATGCGGCAGCTCCCCGCCGAACAGCGGCAGCACGCGGGACTCGTACGGCCCGACGGCTTCGCCCAACCCGATGGAGACGAGGTAGTCCGCCACGTCGCCGGCCGAGTAGTTCTTGCTCTTGGTGGTCACCAATGGCGTCGCGGCGCCGAAGGCGGCCGGGCTGGGCAGTCTCCACAGGCTGCTCTGCTGGCTCCTGCCCTGCCGCAGCAGCGCGCGCGGGTCCACGAATGGCAGGCCCAGGTTGTTCCCGGAGACCAGAGTCTGCATTCCCCGGACGAGGCCGCCCCACGGGGCGGCGATGGGCACGAAGCGCCCTACGAACCGCCGGCGCCAGGCCATCGGCTGGCGGATGAGGAACTGGTGCGCCAGCAGGCCGCCGAAACTGTGGGTGGCGATCACCACCGGCCTGCCACCGTTGAGCCCGCTCGCCCTCTCGACTAGGCTCTTGAGCGCCCGGAAGAAGGCGTCGCCGACCCTGGACGGGCGCCCCACCGGCGCGACGGCGTACCGGAAGTCGTAGGGCGCGCCGAACATGGTCTCGCCGTCGCGGTACCCCGTCTTCTCCAAGCGCTCGACGAACGTGCTCATGTAGGAGAAATTCCTAGGAAAATCGAGAAATTTCAGCCGACTTTGATTCAGAATTGGGGACACGACACGATTGAGCAATCGATAGCTACTTACTTGCGATCAGGATCGGGGTAGCGGAAGGCTTGGGTGGAGCCGAAGAAGGGGACGCGCGTCTCCACGCCGGCGACGTTGGAGTAGTCGTCGTCGGCGGGGTCGTACACGGAGCTCATCTGCTCCGCGAAGCACGGCACGTTGGCGGGGTCCTGGAGGGCGGAGTAGTTGAGGTAGAGGCGGAACCACCCCTCCCCCTTGCGCGCCCCGCAGCCCGGCGACGACGGCTGGTAGAGCTCGGTGAGCCGCGCGTCCAGCTCGTTGGTGCCGTAGCCCGGCACCAGGACCACGGGGTGCAAGCCCGGCGCCGCTTGCACCGCTGCTAGTGCCACTGCCAGTAGTAACAGGGCAAGAAGCAACGGGATCGCCATGGATGAACTGATCAAATGATCAAAATTCAGAGTCGTACTCCTTTTGCCCAATTTGCAGCACATTTTGTACGCCAAGCATCCCATGTCGCTCGCTCGTATCCATCAGTTAGTCAATGTGGATGATTGAGTACATACAATACTAATTGTTGACATTTTGCTTGTGTGGAGGCCCGAGGGGCACTGGATGTGGAGATCTTCTTTTGAGAGATAATTTCAACCTACTGGTTGTTGAGCGTATTCTAAAAACCCCTTGGGTACACGGTTAACTAGGATCAGCGACGGTAACGAGCGCGAGGGATTCCTATCGGCAGCTCTCACGGTTTGGCGAGGTGGGGTGGCCGCCCTCCTGCCAGGCTTCAGTGGTGGCACACGCAGGCAGTGGCCGGTATGTGAAGGCCCAAGGGGCACTGGATGTGGACCGGTTGCTTCTGAGAGATAACTTCAACCTACTGGGTGTTGAGCGTATTCTAAAAATCCCCTTGGGTACACATTTAACCAAAAAATTATCGTGGCATAGATCAAAGTCTTTCTTTTTTTTGCGGGTGGCATAGATCAAAGTCAACCATATTCTCTGCCCAATCTGGTTATTACTTGGAACGGGAGCACAAATTCGAAGCCAGGATGGACATGGTTTGGCTGAACTAAATCCAGTGTGGGATTATTTATGAAAGCTCCAAGTAACTGCTAACATGGAAAAAAATCCGTCCCAAAATATGATATCATTTTGGACACTATTGATAATGTAAAAAATGATCTTATATTTTTGTACGGAGGGAGTATATTTGGTGAGAACTAGATGGAGTTATTCCGGGGAGAGGATTGCTTCCAAATAGACACATAATGTCCAATTTGTCATGCGGGAGCGGAAGATATTCGACATATCTTGTTCACTTGTAGGAGAGCAAAGGAAGTTTGGAAGGCAATGGGTTTAACTGAAAGAATACAACAATCCCTAGTCATTCATAGATCGGGCTCTGCTGTACTTGAGGACATTTTATACTGGCCAGACAACAACGAACCTATGCTTGGGATGCTCGGTTTGAAGGAGGCGGTGGCTCTGGAAGCCTGGTATATTTGGTGGCAAGGCCGCAAGAAGAACAGTTTTTGCTATCTAGGCAATTACGAGGAACTACCAGGCCGCTGCATCTAGTTCAATACCACATGAAATATCATGGGATAAACTAGTTCCGGATTCTTACAAACTCAATGATGCACGTACTCTTGTTTTTCAAGAATGATATGGGCATAGTGGCGGTGGTTCTTCGGAACGATTGTGGTGAGGCTTTGACGGGCTCAAGCTGGCTCTTTGATCATGTGTTGGATGCCACTACCACTGAAGCTATAGAAATGTTGAGAGGTCTGGAATTTCTGAAGAGATTGGGATGTTCACCAACGACGGTCAAATCTGATTGCCCGGGGCTCATTCAGTCAAGCACGGGGATTATCTAAATTTGGAGTCCATATATTGCGGTCCTAGCAGAAATTTTCTTGGTTACAGGAAGGATTAGATCAAATTGTTCAAGCATTGTCCACGGAAAGCTAATCATGTTGCGCACAAGTTAGCTCGTTATTCTTTTGATTCAAATTTTGTAATATCCTGGGCTGATAGTCCTCTCAGTTTCATTTTGGATGAGATTTTAACGATGTAAGTTTATTCACAATTCAATAAAGTGCGCCGAGGGCTTTTCCATAAAAACAAAAAGTTCGGTCTCAATACAACTTCAGTTGAGGTGCCAACCGACCTGTAAGCCTTCAGGTCGACGACTTTCACGCTCATCCCGCGGCAGTGGACAAGAGCCGACGCCTGCAACGACCATTGCTCAGGGCAAGAGGAGGCGGACCTAACACTAGGTTTGGTCCATGTCAAATTGTTTGATTGGGCTTCGAGAATAAGCTGGGTAGGGGGTAGCTTATTCTAGAAGACCAAAAAAATCACCAAAAGAAATGACCCTTAGTGTGTTGACCAGAGGGTTGTATAATCGCGAGAGTAACTCTCGTCTCGCCTTAAGGATTTTCGTGGGGTGTACTGGGCTGGCCCATTACTAACGTTTCTTCACGCTCGCGCGCTTGTTGTTTGGCGTGTTCGCTACGATGGTTTTATATGTTTCTTTTCATGTTTTGTTTTTTCTTTCAGTTTTCTTTCTTTTCCCCCGGTTATCTTTGATTTTTCGTATTTACTTTTTTTTCTTCGGTGTTCATTGTTTCTTTCTCAATTTCCACTTATTTCTTTTCTTTGCTCTTCTTAGGTTTTCTTGGTTTTTGTTATTTTTTCCTTTTTTTGTTATTACTTCATATTTCTTTTTTTCTTTCTCGGAGTTTTTCATTTTTCTTTGTGTTTTATTGGTTTTCATTGTTTTCATTCTTTTGCATTCATTTTCTTTAGTTTTTATTTTTCCTTTTGGTTTTACATTGGTTTTTTCTTTCCCCTTTCTGTATAGAAAAGGAACATTATTTATATTGGATTAACGTTTCCTGAATACATGAAACATTCTTCATATACATCTAAACATTTTTTGTGTACACGTTGAACAATTTCGAAATATCTTATTAACATTTTTTCAAGAATATGTTTTGATGTATATTTTCTTGTTCATACACATTATACATTTTTGGTATGCATATACACATTTTTTTATATCCCTTTAAAAAAAATTCCAAACATATATTTTGAGGTAAACATGTTGTTATACACGTTATACATTTTTCTTATACATCAAGAACATTTTTAATATACATGTTTAACATGTTTTAAATGCATGATCAATGTTTTTTGAAGTTTTTTATGTCTACTTGTTTTCATACACCTTGTACATTTTTTCATGCACTAGGAACATTTTTTATACAATTTTAACATTTTATAAATACATGTTTTCAATGTCTATTTTTTCACACATGTTGTACATTCTTCGTATACATCTGGAACATTTATTTATGCACATTTTAGAAAAATCATGATTAACATTTCAAATGTATGTGTTTGAAATATTATTTGCGGGTATGTGTTTGATTTTTTTAATAAATATTTATTTCTTCTGAATACCTTTTTTCAATTGACGCTAACAATTTTTTTACATTGCGTTAACATATTTTCAAATTCACAGTTTTTAAGAAAATTTCAACAAGTTTATGTTTTGGAATGCTTGTATTTAAAATATTTTCTGAAATATATAAACAAATTTAAATGAAAAAAGAAGAACGGAGGAACAAAAATTGGAAAAAGCGATTGACTCGCTACTGGGATGGCCTATATGCGTCCTTGATGCGACGCTGCCTTCCAGTTTGCACTAAGAGCATATTTTAGCAGAACAAAACTGTAAAATGACTGCCGTTCTACGGGATAGGACGAAAAAACGTCTAGACTGGTCCTGTAGAATGGTCCGTGCCGTAATTTTTTTTTTGAGGGGGGCATGTATATTTCGGCCCCGTTCGTCATATTTCCAGTTTGCTCTCCTCAATTTTACAGCTTGGATGACTTGGTGAGAGGAAAATTTCAGCCCAGACCGCTCCTGTCGCAGCGGGCGTCACCGGCACCGCTGCCTCGCGAGCTTGAATCCGGACAAATGGAAGAGAAGAACTGAAGAAGAGGCCAAACAGAGGAGCGCGAGCAACCAGAGGTTCGTCAACGCGTACTTGGAGACCTCCTCCTGCGTCTCGGGAGCAGCGGGAGCGTGCCTGAACGGCGTCCCAGGACGGGGCTGGACAGCGGTAGCGTCCAGGCGAGATCCAGTGCTCGGCCCGCCGAGGAACCTGAGCCTGCTCCGCGCCGGTGCTCGGCCCGCCAGGGCACCTCCCCTGCTCCACACCGGTGCTCGGCCCGCCGGGGCACCCTTCCCCTGCTCCGAACCGGTGCTCGTGTCAGATCCCGACTTGGATTGACAGAACTAAACTACTGTGAACTCAAATCTTAAACAAAGATGAACTCCCGATAGCGGAGACCTCTTCTATTAAAGGAGGATTTCTACTTTCGCTAGGAACTAGGGTTACAGTAGTTGGGGATAAAATGATTGATGCCCTCTATCACGCACACAGGCGCTTATATGGGTGTCCACACATACATGGTGAAAAGAGAAAGACAGTAAAGCGACAAGTGCCTGGCACTGTAAAAACAGGGCACTGGTCCATCGTGGCCTTTCGTCGCGAACGCGTCTGTCCACCGTTGAATTTCCTCTGCTTCTAACTGCACTAGTATGCTGTCTAACTGAAACAAGTGCAGCTATCTTCAGGTAGCTGACAATGCCCCCTTCTGAAACCATACTTGTCCTCAAGTATACTTCTCTGGGAACCAGCTTTTGAGCGTGCCGGCGAAGAATTCTAGGAAAACTTGTTTGATGAAATTGGCCTCCTCCCAGGTTGCCTCTTCCGGTTCCATGTTCTCCCAGCCGATGAGCCACTGAGTGACAAGCACTCCATTCCTGGGTAGTGAGCGAGTCTCGAGTACAGCTAGTGGTTCTATTTTGATTCTGCCATTGTTGTCCAGTAGAGGTAGATCTTTGCTTGGAACGGCATGTGTGCCCATGTGTTTTTTTAGCTGGCTGACATGAAACACCGGGTGAATTCCAATGTGAACTGGTAGTTGGAGTTTGTAAGCAACATGGCCAATCTTCTCCAGTATTCTGTAAGGCCCATAGAATTTGGTTGTCAATTTCATCGCTTGCCGAAGGCCGAATGCAACCATTCTGTAAGGCTGCATTCGTAAATAAACCATGTCCCCCACCTCGAAATTCCTTTCCAGGCGTTTTTTGTCGGCATACTTTGTCACGCCCAATATGCGACCCTATCCAAAAGGAACTCGAAGGTCCCACCAAGGATAGATCCGCATATTGAAACGCTTTTGCAAGGTGGATATCATTACATCAACATTACATAATAGATGGGGATACATACATAAGGCATACAATGCCACTCGAATACAACATCACAATACATAAGATCAACATCCGACTACGGATGAAACACAAACAGAAACTCAAATGACATCCACCCTGCTAGCCCAGGCTGCCGACCTGGAACCTATCCCCTAATCGAAGAAGAAGTAGAAGAAGAACTCAAGACAAGCAAGCATCGCTCTCGCGTCATGAGCATCG